TTGTTCATTGATTGCATGAGTAATCTTTCATTTGGTACTATTAATGATATTTCATAGATTGGTTCATTCACTTGATCATCAACAGATGTAAAGAATTGTTTCAAGATTGAATGAAATCGTTGAGATACCTTATCAATTGTTTCTACATTGAACAAATCAAGTGATGCATTGATTGTGCATGATAATTGATTGATATTGAGATCATGTTGGATTAGAAGTGAGAAATCATACTTATCTGCAATCACATTATCATTAATATTCATCGTGGAAGGTACGGAAGAAAGTTGACTATCACCAATCATTATTAGTTTATTGTCACTTCTTGTCATAGATGATAGAAACTGAAATGATATATCAAGAAATGCAGGTTTTGAAACGTTTGGATGTTGATTGAGAATATGTTGAAGAGGAAGATAGGAATATTTCATACTACTGGTTGTTATCTCTTGGACATAATCGAGTAGATAATGAACAGACCAATGAGGATCTAGTTGACATCGTAATGGAATGATATTCTCAAACAGCCCAATGATTGATTTTAGTTCGTCGCTATAACGGTTGTCGATATTCATTGCAATACATAAATCTTTTTCTCCATTCGTTAATTTGAATAAGAAGATGAAGTAAATAGCAAGTGCTACATGTTCATGTTTGATATTGTTTGATGATGCATATGTGAGAAAATGATGGGAAAGATCTAGCCCGAAATCAAAAGAAATGGATGTTGTATGACTAGTTTGATGTTCATTAGAGAGACGATATCGATCATATGGTAATGGTACGGATTGACCGAGATAACAATTATAGAGTGTATCTAGCCAAAACATACTTGCACCAGTCATTGACATTTGCTGTTCAATAAGAGCAACTATCGAAGAAGAGGAAAGAATAAATAGTTTGAATAGAAAAAACAATTGAATATACTTACAATCGATATAACGTAGAGTAGTATTATTATCAGTTGTTAGCTGACCTGTTTTATAAGCTTGATCAAGATCATGAAGAAATATATTCATTGATGGATAATCAAAGAAAGCATGATGAAAATTGAAGATAATTATATCTTTATCGGAAAGGATGTTATTTGAAGACATTTGTTTATAGTAAACAAGATGACATCGAAAGACAATACCTTCAGAGAGGTCGAAAAGTTGCGGATTACATTTCTCATTTTTGATGATAGCACTGAGTTGTTCATCTGTTTCATAAATGCTTTCAGTAATTGTAAACATGTCATTATCGATCTCTTGTTGACTAAGGACTCTCTGTGTAAGCAAATTTTCGTTAGAATCGTAGATGAGTGATGTATGAAGTGATTCATGTTTGGTTATAACGAGTCGAAAAGCGTGACGAAGTTGTTTTACAGACAGAATATCTCCTGTGTAGAGGTGATAACAAAATGGCATATTATGGATCGTTAAAGATGATTGATCAGTATCGGCATCCCTTTGATGTTCGGACCATATTCGATATTGTGCAAAGGATGCTGGTGCTATAAAAATCAAAAATTTAGTTGATTACAGCGAGTAATCTCAATAATCGATTGCGGTCTCATAATATTATTCTTAGTTTCATTGATGTGCTTTCTAGCTAAATAGAATTAATATTGTATCTATGTGCATAAGTCAACAATATCAAGTATAAACATATCATTGATTGAGATTTTCATTAAAACTAACGATGATCACTACAAATCATTAGTAATAAAGTTTCGAAACATCAGAAGAGTATTTTCCCGAAGAAAGTCTTTGATGAATCTCGTATTATCTCAGTGAGTTGAATTATCGTTAGTATACATCAATTTGTGCAATGCATATTACATATATTGTTGAAGACTAGAACAACAAACTTCTTAGAAAAGAAGATTAGAAAAGCGAGGTTGAGATCGGAAGATTACTTAGGTTTTCAAATTTTTACAAAATCGTCGTAATAATAAGGTGTTACGTCGTCGGTATACTTCCTTAATGCTAATTCTTTTCAATGATATAAGTATTATACGCTTAAAACTATTTTGAAAAATGAATATACCTTCACTATGAATATTCTTCAATCTATGAAACATTACTGTTTGAATCTCTTCGGCTTCTTCATGTAAAATTAGCGAAAGTTTGTTCATCGGTATATTACATCCATTCATCACACTATTCGTCGATTTGCCATCAAAAATCTCTTCGAAAAGATACTGTAATCTTTGGGTGATTTTTGTGGCCGTTATTTTGTCAAACAGTTCACATGAAGCAATAAACAAGCAAGACAGTTGACTATAGGTTGATATAGAGTTATAAAGAAACTTTATTGAAAAGTCAAATTTAGCCATTTCATATAATTCATTTAACGACACTT